TAGTGGATTCGGGCTGGCAGGGTGTCAGATCCAGCTCCCCGAACACGCCCCAGCTTCTGCAACGAAAACCACTTCACGTTCTGGAGGAAGCTAGAGGCCCTACGGATCCAAAATTTCCTTTCAATTTCATATCGTCCTTGCTAAAACTCAATAATGGATGGCTATTGGTTTTACTAACTTTCATTAATCGTTGATTGATTTCCAGAACGAAAAACAAGCCTATAAGCATATGATCGACAAACCTAATGTGCTGATTCGAGTTCACAAAGATGGCACGATTCTCTATTCAGTTCGAATATCCCTAGTACTCTCTTGTCCTATGCACCTGCAGGTAGGCCATTTGACAGGCCTCCCAAAAAATTGTTGTTGTCTCTCTTCCTCAAGAAGCCACAGGGACTTAATAGGGAACGTTTTCAGTTTTATCCTATGGATGTTCAACAATGTTTCATTGATTTAGCATCGTACGCCTATACTACCAAGGATATAGGTAATTTAGCTAGTATATATTATTATTGTAATGTAGCAAGATCGTAGGAACACACAGTGTCGTTTGATAGTGTCGTTCAGTTTGTTGGATGCGCCATGCTTTAGATTCCCATTTAATGGTAACGAGGTATTTGATTGTGTGGTAGCTTATGCGGCCAGGGTGTACGCATGTTGTGGAAGATGAAATCTTCAGATCCCCTCATCAGGGCTCACCATCAGCTGCAAAACCAGGTGGGAAGGGTCCTACTTGGTCGCTGGAGAGAGGGTTTACTTGGATTCCCCTTCTCGGCAGTTGTCTGAGAAAGTATTACTTCTAATGGTTGATCGCAGTTGTCTACCTCTTCCCGTTTGGGCCAATATTTTGAGAAAAGTTAAGACAAGCAAGGTAGGATCGGGAAGGTGCGTTCTGCCAAAGGATTGAATTTGGGTGGGGAGGTGGAGGGCAGAAGTGATACATGGCGCTAAACAAAATATCTCTGACCCGCAAAAGACACACCACTGCACCCCCTGAAGCCTCCCTCCCCCCCCTCCCTGCGCCCGCCCGTCGCAAAAGAACTAGCAATTGTTTCACGGACCATTCAATACTGATACAACTACTATTGCCTGAAGGCGCTGTGTTGGGTAATGGATGGCATGGACGTCCCACCCGCCTCCCTCGCTGATGCGCAGTTTCTTTGCGGCGAAAACCAGAAGCCGCTCAATGCGGTTCTTTAGGAAAAAAACTAGAGAAATTTCAGAGTTTGAAACTGTGGGTACTTAAGAACGATCTAGGAAAGTGGTAGGTAGGACTGAGTGACGAGGGGTCCGTACTCAACAGGCAACGGGGTCGTATTAGTGTAAGGAGTAAGCGTCCGATCAACATTTTCTCCCGACGCCGATACGTCGTACCTTGCTACTTATCTCTTCGCTCGTATTAGGACGACGTTGACAAAGGGGAAATAGAGGATACTAGAATACCCAAGCACGCTGTGACCGGCTTGCCAGTATCCATAGGAAGTGATAGCAAACGCAAGAATCGTTTGGCAAGTTGCGGATTTGATCTGAGCCCGTCCTCGTGACCCCCCCCCCCCCCTTACTGAATTCAGTGCTGAACAGTAGGCCTCTAGCCACCGTTACGATGCTTTACATCTTGCTTAACAATTTCGCTTCCCAGATTATGCTATTGGAAACCCGTCATGAACCGGTACAACTCAAGCAGGGCTTATCGTCATCATTACCTTCTTTTAAACTAAACAACGTCTCTACCACATATTGTACCAGTATAACTAATACGGGCACTTACTCATGCCTAAGAACAGTACTGGAATTAAGAAGACAGTTCAGGTGATTTCATGTCATAGTGGGAATTGTGTTGTAATAAATGATTATTCCACCTCCAAGGATGCATTCCATGCTGGCCGAGCCGGGCTCACCAATTCGAATTCATTGCTATATCATTCTTCCTTGCCTTTCTAGCTTTGTAGCAATGGAGGAGGCTTGTGGGAGGCAAGCTCTGCCCATACGACGAGCTCGGAATGTGTCTTTGAATAGGAAAACTTATAAGTTCCGTTCGAGTCACGGATTTGGGCGGCATTTATAACTTCAAAATCTATTAGGTTTGAAACTACAAGTGCAGTAATTCAGTACATTTCAGTTACTACCTCCTACAACTGTACATACCGTCTTGTATGTTAGTAATCGTCTCATGGGTGTCATTTTGGATCGATCGTACCGCTGTTCCAGCTCGAGTGACCCTAGGAGTCACAACATTACTCACAATGACCACCCAGGTGTGACTTTCTTACTGATCTCTTAAACACTTAAACAAAATTCCCGGTCAAAAACTACGTCCACACTGATCGTATGGGCGGGAACCGTCAACCACTTGCGCCTTTCACATCGCCTTTCGCTCTCTTCCAGAGACGATAAAATACGGCAGGCTGATGGGATAACCGAAATGTTGTTTGGTTGTCTCCGCCCATACAATCAGCGTGGACAGTACTTTCCATATTAAACCCGAAGATGGCCTGCTGCTCGAAGAAGTAAGCCATGTCATTTCTGTCACAAACATGTAGAAGCACTGATTGTTAAGCAATCGATCACCACATTTCTCATCAATTTTATTTTATTTGATCGCGTAATTGCTGATCTGTTGTATTTCAGTCGTCCGGTATAAACGCCAAATTGCCTCCAGTGGCCTACATTAAAGCGATAGATGTGTGGATAGGAGGTCAGTACTGAATGATTGAAGCACGGATTAGCACTCAGCTCAGTAAACAATCAATAATTCAATATTTACAATGCCTCTTTCAGCGTGCCTAACATTTATCTTCGGGGCTTTGCTCGAGTTCGCTTGGGTTACGTACATTGCAAATCGGACACAAGGACGACGTGAGTTGTTTCTGTGAACTCGAATACGTACCAGTTCTCTACAAGGTAGTCGAGTGATGGCCAGGAGATCCACATTCATATCGTAAGGGTGAAAAGGGGCGTTTCCAAGCTCCAAGGCGCGAGCTCGCCTACAACTTCGGGGTCTAGACGGAAGGGAAACATGTGAGAAACGAGTCGGCACAAAAAAATCGCAGCCGCCGCCGGGAAGCCACTTTTGTCCACAGATATGGACTGCGAGCCGTGACGCAAGCACGGACAGAAACTGGCCTGGCACGCACGAGATTCCCAGCTGATTGATTCAACTCACTGACTTTCAACTCACTGCAGCCCACGAAAGTCAATGGAGCTTCGGTGCGAAGGCCGCGCACACGACGCTGCGTACAACGCCGCACCGACACAACCTGAATCTCCTGACCTGCGTCCTTGATCATCTTTTATCACACTGTTTTATTTCAATAACTGGGGTATTTTCGCAATCTCTGCATGTCTATTTGACAGAAATTTGTGTAGTCAAATAGCTGCGCGCGAACGCTTCGCGCCTTGAAAGCAGCAGCTCCGCACGCTCAACTGTCTGTTATTGCAAACGTGATGACTGTGTGGCTCGAACTTTTGCAGAAGAACTCTATTTCAATGACGGCGACTCCCGTTTTCTGTCTACCCATAAGTGTTCGCACGTCTTTTTCCGGATTCTGCACCATTCTACGAATCACATGGCGTGCAATTTCATATCTAGAAGATGAGGGGGCGTGGCTGCGTATTTCATTTGGGCTGCGTACTTCATTTGATTAGAGTGGCGCTGCGCGTTGGAAAATATTAATTCTGGGCAATTGTGACCGTGTTCTCCATCCAGCACAAAAACAGGATGACAAGTAGTCCAAATTCCATTGAATCTGCAAGCACTCTTTGAACGAGCGTCCGAGCTTATGCCCACATCATCCTGCCGCCCCCGCCATCGCCCTATCTGAGTAGAGGGGCTGGGCATTTAGGACTCTCTCAGAACCTTCTGCTTATTGCAAATTTGTGGATCCTTTTGAAATTGTTAAACTTAATCTTTTAGATGGCAGCAAAGGTATAGCTTACGCTGATAGAGTGTGCAGAATTCAGCCTACTAATGTAGCGCCCTAATTGGCGCACCCTCCTCATTACCGCTCTGGAGGAGGAGACGTACCAATGAGGGACTTACAGTAGTAAACTTGGATCCGCCTAAGCGACCAACAGGGACTGAGTCCTTGAAGAACATGACAGAGCAAGTTTTTTCTATTTCTATTTCACAGGGAAAGAAACGAAGAGCAAAATGTTGTTGGTACGTGAGAACGATGAGGTCTGGGTCCCTCGGATTATACGGGACCAAGAGTTCGAGAAAGCGAAAGTGTTGAACAATCGGATGAATCCTCAACGACCATTCCATCGGTATGTACGCATGCTTCCCTTACTTTATTCTATCCCCTTGCGTTGTGGAGGACAATCTACACCAGTCGTGTGGGCGAAGCTACACTTCTCATTGCGCCTTCTTCATAGGATGAGAAGTGCACCAATAGCCCGGTTCCGCCCTCACAACGAAAGTGGAATATGTTCCCATGGCCTCCTTTGGTCAATTGATCGTGTTCATGACTTCAGGTGGCTGGCAAGGACTATCGACTGGCATGATGAAGCGAAACGAGCGGATCTTGTGTCGAGTATGTTGCCTTTTTTCCTTCCTGTGTAATCGACAATTTCCAATCAATAATCGATCGCATTCAGGGCTCTTATTCCCGTTGCTGTTTGTGTCTTTCAATGTGGCCTATTGGATTCACTATGCTCAGTATCAGACGCCAACGTAAATTGTTGTACACATTTAACGAAATAAATGTTGATTTTCTCATTGTTCAAGACTGATCCCTACTCGCTGTATGGGTGGAGCCGGTCCTCACATTGACTTTCTTCCCTTCTAGAAAAGAAAAGGAGAACCAATGGCAACAGGTACTTGGACCTTCGACCTTGGTAGGCCTGGCTCCACCCATCGGATATATGTATAATCCGGCTTCCAGATAGCGTCTTCAAAAGAAACATGCAGGACTAGGGACACCACAACGCAGTCGTACGAGATCAAATTGCATTCAGATCAGCTGAGGTTTTCACCTTGCGGACCCAACTTAACCACCCTTCCAACAGATTAAAAATTAATGGCGTTCCTAATGGGGTCACATTACTCATGTTTATCGTTGTGAGTACTTCCTTTGGCCATAACCCTGAAATGGAGTATTAGGGAAGGCGGCAGACTAACTAGGGAAGGTCGTCAGGTCGAAGTGGCCATTTGTAATGAGATGTAGCTCACTAGACGTGGTTTTGGACGCTGATCTCGAATCTGCCTTCAAAATTTGCAAAGCGATTCTCTGAACGGAGTTATGGAGCCGCGTTTACCACGCAACAGGTCATGGGATCGGATCCCTGCTGAGCTTAACTTTTTTGCTTCCTGCGCAAACGTGGCAAAAAGTGGTTGTGGCGTCACTTCTACATTAGCGCTCTTCCTTCACTCTTCCTGACTGTCTGTAAAAACAGTTTTGCGTTCGTTTGTGGTGGCTTAGTGCCTTCTGTCCAAGGAAAATTTTGGCATGTACAGTTGCCCTTTGGTCCGCAGTGGCAGACTTTTCTCACGTATGACAGCTGCCATAATATCGTATTTTAGTATGGGGCGAACTACGTCTAGATAAAGGTTCCTAGCCAAATCTGACATTTGACCAGACTCAAGTGAAGCATCCATGGGTCAGTTCAGTTGATGTTTCCTATTCAGCTTGCAGTACATTTCTCCTGCCACAAAGCCTCGTTTTGCCATCTTTGTCTTCTAGCATTCATTATGTTAACCGCTCTCAGTTTTCTTGATACGCAAAAGCAAATTCCGTCCAAAGACAAGCAATCGACAAGAGACTGGCCCTGGAACTATTGGTGACCATCATTCGATCAACTGCTACCGCACTTTTCATAGTTAGGTCAAAACCTCACTTCTGGCTAGAAACTTGTCTCCAAGGGTAGTTTTGCTCCCTGAACACGAATATGGCACCCATTTGGCGTTTGAGTGTTTTCTAGACTTAAAAGAGACATTCCCCACAAAATGCAAAAGAAGTTTCTTTCCAGAAATTCGAACCCTTCATGGCATGACCGCGAAGCAAGAACATTCCATCTACACCATGCCGCCGACTGCAACGTAAGTGTTCTTCCCCCGGCTATTCATGCGAACTGGCTGGCAACCGACTCCGTTTTCCTTCATTTTAATTCTAACAAGCCATCATAATTCCTTTCAGAGAATCGCTTTGCAAATTTCGAAGGCAGATTCGAGATCAGCGTCCAAAACCACGTCTAGTGAGCTACATCTCATTACAAATGGCCACTTCGACCTGACGACCTTCCCTAGTAAGAGCAAATTCCGTCCAAAGACAAGAAATCAACAAGAGAATGGCCCTAGAACTACTGGTGACCGTCATTAGATCAACACTCTACCATTCAAATACCGAACCCTCCATGGAACGCCTTTGAAGAAACTGCTATCACTACACCATGCCGCCGTTAGGTGCGAAGGCGCTTTGCGGCTATTCATGCAAATTGGCTGGCAACCGCGCCCGACTCCGTTTTTCTTCATTCGAACAAACCTTCATAATTCCTTTCAGAGAATCGTTCTGCAAATTTTGAAGGCAGATTTGAAATCAGCGTTCAAAAACACGTCCCGTGATATACGTCTCGTTACAAATGGCCACTTCGACCTGACGACCATCCCTAGTCAGTTTAGAATAAATAATCGGCTCGTTTGCATGTTTTGCTGCCATGAAATGCAACAGTTCTTGGAAAAGTGAAGTAATGAAAGGATATCCGGTGCAATGTGCCTCCGTAGGGGCGACCACCCAGTGAGGCTTAGCCAGTCCGTGCTGTCTCGATGGTATTGTGTGATAGGAGAGCGACATGCTCTAAAGTTGACTAAGGCAGCGTTCAGACTTTGCAATGACGCGCGTCGACGCGCTAGCCGCGACTGCTACAGGGTACAGAGAGGGAGTAGGAGGGCAGGCGTTGCCTGCACCGACTCTGGTAACCTCGTATTCTCCCATAATCTTCAGAGCAGTAGCGGCCGGCGCCGATCGAGGCCCGCTATAGCACTGGAGCGCGTTTACAATGGTAGAGCGTCCACGAGCGTCATCGCAAAGTGTGAACGCGGCCTCAGCCATATCTAAACATGTCACGTATTTACGGTGAGAGAGCGCAGATGAATAGACATGACGATCCTTGCCCACGCTAGAAAATAGCCTCGTCGAAGCCCACAGCGTCTATGAACCTGGGAGCATAATGACACTGTGATCTTGCATGACTGGGTCCAAGTTGTGATCCTGCTAGTAATTGTGGTGGCAGTTTTAGTTGCATCGTCTAAAGACGGATGTCGCCTACATTGGCGCAGAAATTCTAGCGCCCAAGTTGTGAGCGGCAGCCCATCGTTGTGCTGCACACGTTGGCATGCGTTTTACATTTTATATTCGGCCGAAAGGTTCGGAAAATCGGGTAATCCTACTCGAATGTGCTATGTAAAGGTGGGCTTTAAACGGCAACATCAGCGCCAGAAAAAACAGTATTGCTCGCTCATTAACCTTGAATATGACCTTGTAAAGTTTCTAGTGCACTGGGTCAACTAAGGACAAGTTTTAATGGCGATAGGAGTGAAACATGCGCTAGCTCCATTTCGCTCTCCATCCCACCTCAGCGACGGAATGAAGAGAAACAGGAGTTGGTACTGACTGAGCTGAAGATGGGAAGAAGCCTTCTAGGCGTTTATTAGTCCCTTTTTGGGATGCAACGCACAGTCCTCTCTCAATTCGGAACGAGTTGAAGAGTAGTGGTCCTCCAAAATTCTTCGCTGGTCCTTCAATCCACAGATCACACAATGAAATGCTGGACCGCTCGATGAACAAGTTAGTGTTTTGTTCTTGGAGATGAGTCTGGTAAAACTCGACCACCCCAGAAGGGAATGAAGACCTGCTTGACAGGACAAGACCCGATCCAGGTTTTGGTGCCCGGGTTGGGTGTAAAAGGCGTCGCGACTACTCCTACGGCGCCTCCACCATCCATCAAGTTTGGCTTACTTGATACTTTGATGGTCCTTCAACTGGCTTGATCTTCAGTGGGGACCACAGCTCTTCCATAACGCACGATTTCTGGCGACTTGCATCCAATGTGGTGGACCGCGTTCTCTGAAATATTTCAAAAACGAGTCGGACCAACGCGTTGGTGGTCGTCCCAGAGGCCGTTTTGCGTTCCTTGGGAGCCATTCTGTGATGCGGAGACTCCATCTGTCATCATTGCGGCGGAGCAAGTGACCAGCCCAGCGGTGTTTGCACTGCGCCATATACTGCAGCGGATCTTTCAATCTCGACCGTTCCCTTAGGTCTGAACTTCGTAGACCTTGTTGCGCCATTGCTGGCGGCGGCGCGACCTTCAAGCGACATGCTCTCCAGTGCACGATGCGTAGTTTGCATTGCCTTGGTGATTGTCCTGTTTTCAGGCCAGGTTTCGGTCGCGTAACACATCGCTGGTAGCACCGTGGCGTCGAATATCGAGGCTCTTAGGTTAGGGTCCTTAATTTGCTCCGTTACTTCACGAATCGTTCCAAAAGCTGCCCATGCTGCACGCCTCCTGCGGCTTATTTCAGCAGAGATGTTGTTCAGCATGTTTAGCTCTCTTCCCAGATACACGTAGGAATCCACTCTTTCGAGAGCAACTCCTGCCAATTTCACGGTTCCCGCATCACACCAATGGTTCACCATCATTTTCGTTTTGGACATATTCATTTCCAAGCCAATCTTCTGACCAATCATGTCGAGCTCGTTTACCATCTCTTCCATTTCGACTGTGTTATCGGATATCAGAACGATATCATCTGCAAAACGGAGGTTGCTTATCCTTTTCCCGTCAATCAAGTATCCTTTGTCATCCCAGTTGAGGTTTGACATCGCATACTGTAGTGCTGCCGTGAATAACTTCGGGGATATCGTGTCCCCTGCCGTACCCCTTTCTCAATGGGTACTTTTACCTTGCGCTCGAACAGTTGCAGGGTTGTTGATGTGTTCGATAAACTCTGTTCGAGCAGGCGAATGTAGGCAGAGGGTACTCCGGCTCGCACAAGGGCGTTGAGAACAGCATTAACCTCCACTGAGTCGAAGGCCTTTTTGTAGTCCACAAAGACGAGGACAAGTGGAAGGTGGTACTCGCGGCTCCTCTCTATGAGCTGTGTTACTGCCTGTATGTTGTCCATACAGGAGAAATTCTTGCGGAAGCCGGCCTGCTCTGGTGGTTGATAGTCGTCTAAGATGCGTTCCATACGGTTGAGCAGTATTTTCGTGAACGACTTATATATCGTCGAGAGCAGACTGATAGGTCGGTAGTTGGCAATCTCCTCTCTCTGACCTTTTTTGAACAGAAGAACTGTTCTCGATTCTCTCCACTGTTCTGGAATCATTCCTAATTGCAGGTAATGACTGAAGTGCTCTGCGAGGAGTGTGTGAAGGGACTTTCCTCCTGCACGAAGAAGATCGGCAGAATATGGCCATCGGAGCAGTTCCTTTCTTCATCTTTTTGATCGCATTTGCAACTTCCGCTTCCAGAATAGGAGGGGGATCTTCAGCAGGCGGTGCAGAGCATCTAGGGACGTTTGTGGAAGAGCGGAAGAGATTCGTGTAGAAACCACTAACGATTTCCTCGATAGATCTCCTAGATGTTTGTATTCTTCCATCCTTGTCCATAAGAGCTGAAATGACATTTCTTTGATCGTTCAGATCTCGTTTGCAGCGTTTGATGCTCGATCTTGTTT